TTTACAGAGTCAGCATATCACCCCAACAATCTGGGTCCTCGTTTTACTGGCCTCAGAAGGATGGAAGGCTGAGTCAACATTTAGTAGGAGGGGAGAGAGGGAGGAAGGAAGGAAGATAGCAATAGCACTTAGACTTATATACCGCTTCACAGTGCTTTACAGCCCCCCTCTAAGTAGTTTAACAGAGTCAGCCTCTTGCCCCCAACAATCTGGGTCTTCATTTTAATGACCTCAGAAGGATGGAAGGCTGAATCAACCTTGAGCCGGTCAGGATCGAACTGCTAGCAGTGAGTTAGCCTGCAGTACTGCATTCTAACCACTGCGCCACCACGGCTCTTTCAATTAACTGTCAATTAACCCAATTTCCATGAAAAGGCAGTACATAGAAGCGACGTTAGAAAGAGGGGTTCGAACCCCTTAAGCCAAACCAGCCTCTGGTTGGTGACTTTATCGACCGGGCATGTAATGGCTGTTCTTATCCACCCAGGGCGCCTCTGAAAAAGACATTGTGCATTCGGGCTTGGCTTACACCATGGAGCGATCTGCACGGGTAAGTATTGCGCCGCTATAGAAACACTAAATGCTGCTACGGAGGGTCACCTTGCGAGGTGAGGATCATCGGTCTGTTCCTGTTTTGTCCTTTCTGCTTTGTTTTGCTTGCCTTATGGCGGAAAGATTAGCAGTGGAAAGCAGAGGGTAGCCACGGTTATTCATCTTGCAATTAGCCATCAGACTTTCTGTATTTAGGAAGGAGAAGGTGGAATTTCTAGGAACATGGCAGGGGAAGGGAACTTGAGGCAACGGGTCATGGAAAGGACACAGCTCAACGCAAGCTTATATGTAACTGCATTGTTAGAAGTGTTGACTTAGCCAGAGGAAGTGGCGGTTTCTCTTTGTTGCTGTCTTATGACAGGCAGGTTAATGGAGGTGGAAGGGACTTTGGAGGTCTTCTAGTCCAGCCCCTTGCTCAAACAGGAGGCCCTAAACCCGTGATGGCGAACCCATGGCACGCGTGCCGGAAGTGGCATGCAGAGCCATCTTTCCGGGCACTCCAGCTGTTGCCCGTTGCTCTTCTGGGTTCTGGTATGTGCCTGCGCGCCGGCCAGCTGGTCTTTGCACACGGGGGCGCCGGAAACCGGAAGAGCAGGTGGCTGCACACGCATGCACACGCCGAAAACTGGAAGTTCAGCTCAGCCGTGGAATTGCTCCTTCCGGTTTCTGGCACTCTGGTTTCAGCACTTGGTGCCGAAAAGGTTCACCAATCCTGCCCTGTACACTGTTATTCCTCCCGTTATGATCACCACGGAGCCCAACATTTCCGTTGTTAAGCGAGACATTTGTGACGTGGGATTTGCCCCCTTTTACAACTTTTCCTGCCACATCCGTGAAGCGAATCACTTTGTGGTGCTTAAGTGAGTAACCCGGTTGTTAAGTTGAATCTGGCTCCCCTCCATTGACTTCGCTCGTCAAAAGGTTGCAAAGGGGAAATCCCGTGACCCCAGGACACTGCAAACCGTCATAAATATGAGTCAGTTGCCCAACCGTGGGGATGCTGCAACAGTCGTACGGGTGAAAAGGCTGTGGGAGGCTTCCCTTGAGCCTCTGGGAGGCCGAGAAAGGCCCGAAGATCAGCTGGGAGGCGCACGCATGCGCAGTGCAGGTAAGGGGGCGGCGGGGGGGGATCGCGCACGCGTGCACAGGGGTCGTGGGGGCATACGCATTGCCTTCTGGGTCCTGGCACGCGAGCGCAATGTTCCGCACAGGAGCCCAAAATGTTAGCCCCCACTGCTTTAAATATTCCTCCGCTTCTACTCCCTGAACCAGGGTTGGTTTTCCCTAAAGCCTAATAGCCATTGGACTCCAGTAATCTTCCCGGGAGCATAGTTTTTTTTTCCACCTTTGATTTACAAAGTATGCAGATCACCCACAAGCCTTTCAGAACATAAACACAAAGGCAGAAAGACTTCATGATGGTTCAAACAGTTTCCCGTGTGTGTGTGTGTGTGTGTGTGTGTGTGTGTGTGTGTGTGTGTGTATATATATATATATATATATATATATGTATGTATGTGTGTATATATATATATATAAAATATGGCATTCAGCTTTGTTCAGGTATTTTCCCACGTCATAGTAGTTGTGTTTTTAAAGTTGTAGCGACGTTTCGGCAGAATCTCATCTGCCATCATCAGGCTTCTCACAGATGAACACTATACAGAAGCCTGATGATGGCAGATGAGATTCTGCCGAAATGTCGCTACAACTTTAAAAGCACAACTACTATGACGTGGGAAAATACCCGAACAAAGCTGAATGCCATACATGTAAGTACCCGCGAAAACTTAAGAAAACAAATTTATATATATATATATATCTTTGGGAGTCCTAACAGTACCGTGTTTTTAATGTCCCCGTAGCAAATCATGCGCACCGCCATGAAGTACAACCTCGGTCTGGACCTGAGAACAGCCGCCTATGTCAACGCGATCGAGAAGGTCTTCAAAGTATACAACGAAGCCGGTTTGACCTTCACATAAAACGGCTCCTCGGTCTCAACCCAACACAACCGTGTTTTGAGTCCCGTTGGGGGAAAAAAAAAAAAAAGCTTACGAGAAGTTTACACCAGAAACCGTTTTCTCACTTAGCTGTAGTGGATATGATTCTCAGTTAGCTCCCGTTCAAGCTAGTCCTTTTATATAAATAAATAAAATAAATAAATATAAATAAAATATTGGGGGAACGGGGGGGAGAAATCCATGTATTTAGAGTTCCCAAGTTGAGAGAACAACCACAGATAACCAGCCCATCCTAGAATTTGTTTTTGTAGGTTTCATCTTGAGAAGTTTAAAACCTGTTCCCTTTTTCCTCGTACGGGAAGCATGGCCTTGCCGCAGTAAGCAACTTAGCATCGCTTCCGACCGACATATAACGCTGAAGGAAATATTAACTGTTCAAGCACTTTTGGCTTCAGGCAATGCTACTCTTGTAGGTTTAGGCACTTTTGAGTAAAAAAAAAAAATGCTCTTGGATCGGTTCTGAAGACTGAATGGGTGACCTTCAGGGAATAGCCCATATTTTCCCATATTTACAGTTACAGGAAGGAGAAGCCAGAAGCGTTGTTCCCTTTAAGCAACTCTTGTGTTGTTTCTTCCTTCCTTCCTTTTTTTTTTCTCCTTCCAATCTTTGCTCCTGCTACAGGCCTGCCTCTAAATCATGTACTTAAGCCTCACCTTGATTTAAGCACTTGTCCGGTTGTGTGCAAAGGGGGGAGTTCCAGGAATCGGTTTTTTGTATAAGCTGAATGAGCATTTATAAGCTGAATGAGCACAAAGACCACGGGAGAATGGCTTCTTGTCACTACATATCCACTTAGCTTATCTGTTTTTTTTAAAGGATAAACACGTACTTGTGCATAACCTTAGGACGTCCAAAGAATTTTTGTAAGTTTTTATTCTTCTTGTACTTTAGTTTTTGAAGTGCTTTTAGCATTAGCGTTGGCCTGTTGAACAATTAAAAGGTCGAAATTACTGATACTAAGAAGATGGGCAGGCACACTGACATAATTTTTGCTCCATTCATCTGGAAATGCTGAACCTGGAAAAAAAATTGGTTAGAGGGGGCCTCGAATCAGAACTGGATTTGTTCCCGTAGCTGCCTTGAGGGTCTCGGCATGGTCTTGTGTCCAGATCAATTCTATAAAGTGCCAGATGTATTTAATCTAATCAGTTAGGATGTTTTTAAAATACACCCCAGCCCCTCCTGGAAATTCATGCTTTTTTTTTTCTAGCTCCTTTATAACTCATGACATTACATGGCATCAAAAGCAATTATTAAAAGTTGACATTTTGAAACATACTCTGGTCTGTTGTGTTTTCTACTCCGCATCAATGGGGGACAGGCTGGGATCTGTCTGAAAAGGAGCCAATTCCCACACCGTTCCCGTCGACACAGGCGCAGAATTTTTCAGTCATTCCTAGAAATTTTGTACGTCAAAGCATATTTAAAATGAATGTCTTTTTTTCCCCCTTGTTTGACAGCAGCAATTTTCGTAGCTCCACCAAAAGAAGTGATACAATACGCGAACATTTTATTCGTGTTTATTTTTTTAAGGAATTTGGAGAATAGCTTGACCCCCTCTCTATGGCAGCCCCCTATGGCAGCCCCCTGGGAGAGAGCTATCCTGTCACCCCTAATTTGCTATCCTGTTACCCCTAATCCTTCCCTTCGATAGGATAAGCATAGTTGCCTTAGCTGTTCATTGTACGATTTAGTCTTTTCCTTCGCCAGATATAACCACGGAAAGCAATGATCAGAAAACACGCTGTCACCATTCACTCTGAAACTATTTTTTTTTAATGTTTGATAACAGCGACAAAATTTACGCAATATATAATTTAACCTTCAATGAAGGTGTCAAATACATCTAACAGGGTAGCCATGGGAAGATCATTTCCAACGCATCAAAGATAATTGGATCGTTTCCAATGTGCCAAAAGGAGGACCAGGCCAATTTAGGTTGAAACATTCTTCTTTTCTTCGGTCTTCTTCTGGCCGCTCTCGCTGAAACTTTTTCCCCACGCCGTTATCTCACCTGCTGCTTTTTGCACCGCTTTTTCACCAGTTTCTTGCGCACTTTTGCAGGTGTCATCAATCACTTTTAAAAAAGAAATGACCAGATGGTTAAAGGGTCTCTTAATATTACAACTTTGCCTCCCTGGGAATATAGCAAACTTGACATTCCCTGAAGCCTCTCATAAATTATCTGACGTGTATAATATTATGTGTGTTCAAAATAAATTTGATATAGACAGCACACTGCCGCTGTAGAAATGGAAACATTATGTATAACAAAGGAAAATGCATAATTAAAAATAATTAAGAAAAATAAATTATCTGAAGTCTCTTCAGAGTGTAGATGCCCAGAGCCTTTTCTTTTATATTATTATAATCTGACCCACCCCGTGTCATCTTGGACACTGCTGATAATATTTAAAGTTCCAAGATCAATGTGACCCAGTTCACTTGGCAAATTACGTTTAACAAGAGATACCATCCCATTCAACCCTTTCTTAACAGAAAACTCCCTAAATGGCAGAATTGGGCATTTCCAAGTATAACTCCGATTTGTTTAAAATGAGTTTTAAAAGGTCCTAAATAATTAAATACTGACCAGACCAAATCAGTTTGCCAATTGTTCAATTTCTCTGTCTTTTGAAAATAGATGACACCTGATCATTGCTTGATTTTTTTTCCTATGTTTTCTCAATTATTTCATCCCTGAACTCTCCTTCGTCCTATTCATAATCAAGTACTCTTCCATTGCCTCAGAGTGTTGATAGTTTCTAGGATAATTTACAAACTTTATAAGTTTCTAGGATGATTTTGCAAACTCCTCCTAGGCTTTCCAAAAGAAATAAAAATTAAGATCACCATTAAATCAAGTTCGCTCCTGGTAACACTGCCATTATAACAAGTTGGCCCCGATTCAGGCGCAAAATAATCTGCTATTTCTTGGTCGGTAAAAATTTTTTGGCTTCTCAGTCTTACCCATAAAGCTGAGATACCTAACGGGTCTCCCATCCAAGTCTTAACCAAGCCTGACCCTGCTTAGCTCTTTGAGACCAACCAAGAACAATGAGTGGCAGGAGGAGCCTAGTGTAAAAATCTGCCTAATAAAGTGCATTTGATTTTTTTAAAAAATATTGACTTTCTCCTTCAAGAACAGAATTTCTTGATTTGAATAGTTTTCTGTTCTTTGGTACAAGCTAACTCGGGTCGGTGACCCACGGCTCTGGAGCCACATGCGGCTCTTCTGCTGCAGCTCCTTCTTGCCAGTTGATAAAAGGAAGAAGGATGCCACTAGGAGGAGACTCTATGGTGGGAGGAACCGGACTTCTGGTCGGCTCCAGAATTGAACAGGGGGGAAGGGGCTTCCAGTTAGGACTTTTGTGGCTCTTTGAGTGTTTAAGGTTGCTGATCAATAGGCTAACTGAAGACAAGTTTATTACAAGCAAGATCAAACCTGATTTCTCTAGTTACAAGCCTGTACAGGAGGTATATTGCTCCAAATTGGGGGGGAGGGGGAAATGTACCATTTTCTTTTACTATAAGAGTGAAGGTGCTACTCCTAACTTAATAAAAACCTGTCTGTCTTACCTTTCTGACCAGTTTCTGTCACCTGATCCAGAACGTGCTGCACAGCCTGCCCTGCTGAGTTAACTGCAGTCATAAACAATAGCATAAATTACTGTCACAGCAATCATACACCAGTTGCCTGAAACAGTTCATTTTACATTTTCAAATAACAGCCAAGCTAGTACCATGTTTTCCTGAAAATAAGACCCTATCTTATATACTGTATATTTTTGCCATCAAAAAAGGCACCAGGTCTTATTTTCAGGGGACGTCATCCACTGATTAACCTCACTTTGCATGCCTCACCCTCGGCCTCCTTTTCACTGTCAGAGGCCTTCAGGAACTTCTGTGGCTGGCAAGGCTTTCCTGAAGGCCTCTGCAGCCGATAATAGACCTCCAGATTGATCTCGAGCTTTGCTATCAGCTACAGAGGCCTTCAGAAAAGCCTTGCCAGCCTTGCCGGCTGCAGAAGAAATGGTCCAGCAAGGCAGGTGTTGGGGTGTGTCCAAAGGTAAGTAGTAGGGCAGCTCCACCACCATCCATCCCCACCCTAGCTTAATTTATACCCGTCCACTCTGGAGTGGGCAGGATCTTAATTAGAGCTTTTTTTTTTTGGAGGAGGTAGGGCTTATATTGGGCGCACGTGTAAAAAAATCAAGCTAGGACTTACTTTCAGGGTAAGTCGTATTTTGGGGGAAACTATTTACAGTAGGAACAACTATATTTTCAAAGGCCTATTTAGCACCCCAAAAAATCTCAGTAATAGGAATAAATTATTAGGTTACTAATATCTACATTCCAATTTTTCTTTAAAAGAATTAAATTTTGTGCATCGTCAATATTAGATTAAAATACATTTTTGGATCTGTCTGGTTTTGACAGAGAAGGTTGCACATGCTAACTTCTATTGTATAACTGTGTGAAACTTTCAAGGAGCTTTGCAGAAGAGTCTTTAAAGTGGCACTAAAATCCACACTTTAAAAAGACAACTCTCCAAGCCAAGCATCACTTCCAGTGATGTCATGAAGATGTTCATATATTTTTATTGTGAAGCAGTTTGCAGTTCCGTTCTTATGAGATGCCTTCCTTTGACTTCATCTCTGGGATAGTTCAGAATTACCTCAAATGTTAGCCAGGCCCAACTATGTTTAAATTCTGAATAGGTCAACCAGGGAGGAACATAAGGAATCAGGATTTCTTATGACAAGTTCTCCGTCACAAGAGTTGCAGACTTAAAGCTCCCTGCAAGATCTTGGGTTGCACTGACACCTTCAGGTGTAGAAATGTCCTCTGAGGTTCTTTGATTTGTTTTGCTCAGTAAATATCTGCCAATAGAGGGCCTCAGGAAGAAATCATAGATCTCTCCTGAAAACCAGCTTCTATGCTGGTTGGACTCAACTTCTAGGGCTCTTTAGTGGACAACTCAAGCCTCCAGAGGTCATTCAGGGGTCAAATCAACCCTACAGGGTTAATTCTGGGGTCAACCCAAGCTCTATAGATAATTCCAAGTCAACTGAAGCTTCTGGAGTGGTCCTGGTCTTAACACCAGCTTCCAAGGGTTATTTATGGTCAAGGTTTAGGGCTCTTTGGTGTTCCACTCAAGCCTCCAGAGGTCACTTCAAAGTGAAATCAAGCCTCCAGGGTTCATTTGGGGTACAACCCAAGCCTCTTGAGGCCATTTCAGATCAACTCAAGCTTCTGGCGTGATCATGGTCTGAACACCAGCTTCCAAGGAATATTTGGGTTTAACCTCTAGGGTCCTTTGGAGGCCCACTCGAGCCGCCTCCAGGATCATTTGGAGATCAACTCAAGTAGCTGATACTCAACTCTGTTCATTGAAAAGATGGTGTGCTGAATCCTGAATGTAGCAAGAGAGCGAATTGCAAAGGATCTCTGAATTCTTAGAACAGCGTATTATAGTTGGGCCATGCTTCACAGTGGAGGATGAGTCATGGGCAGTTTGAACTACTGAGTTTCAGAGAGCACCAAGGACTCCTCAGTTCAACCCTGAGCTACAAATATTTTCTTCAGTTGAATTTTCCACTATTTGGTTGTTCAGGACTGCTGCTCTCCATCCTTGGTAACGCTTGTCTGAATAATAAAATTAATTCTGATTTTTGGAACCTGAAAGTAAGGGAGAAACTATTTGGTTATGTCCATGGAGACGTATGGAATTCTTGATGTTCCAGTCTTCTCCTTAGATGTTGCTGTCCTATTTGTCTCCTTTGTCAAAACATTGTGCTTGGAAAGATGTAAAGCCCAATAGTTTTTCACTGGTCCTTTGGAAGACGGTGCAGAGGGAACATTGACAGCTAGATGGTGGTCCTAGTTCAATGCCTATTTGGTCCTTCCTTCTCTTTCTGTGCTTTTATGGTTAATTGTGTTTTTAGGACTTTATGTCTTCTGCATGGAGTCACATTAACTGGATAGCACTAGCACTTAGACTTATATACCACTTCACAGTGCTTTACAGCCCTCTCTAAGCGGTTTAAAGGGTCAGCCTTTTGCCCCCAGCAATCTGGGTCCTCATTTTACCGACCTCGGAAGGATGGAAAGCTGAGTCAACCTTGAGACGATGAGAATCGAACTGCTGGAGTGAGGAGTGAGGAGTGAGTTAGCCTGCAGTACTGCATTCTAACCACTGCGCCACCATTGCTCTTCTGGCATAAAAATATCATTAAAACTTTTTTTTTTTTTTAATGGAGCAGGAAAATAGATAT